GAAATGTATCTATATGCTAAAAAGCCTATTTATTTCCAGCACATCTGAAACAGCACAGAGAAAGTTTCAAAGCTGACCAGGAGACTGACTTGGCTCCCTTTTAAACTAATAGGAATTCTATGAATAAATCCCCTGAAAAACTTTCCCACCTCATCTCATGACTTTGAAAAATTAGGCTGTAAATCTGGTAAGGCTTCAGCAGTGCAGGATTCTGTCTAGCCCCAAAATAAACCCGAGCTACCTTCCCTGTGTGCAGCAGAGCATCTCTGCTGTCACCCAGCACCCGGGAGGCAAGAACCCAAGGAACAGCGAAGTCTGATCAGTTTTTAAAAGCTGTTCAGACGGTCTGTGCAGAGCCTTGGCTCCGTCCCGGCTGCCGCGCGGACTCCATGGATCTCCCGTCAGCCACTTGCTGAGGCCGCATCGGGAGCCCCTCGCGGCGCGCGCCGCCAGCAGCCCGCTGCAGGGATGTCATTAAGGATGTTCCCAACCCAACTTCGGCGTCTGGGCAGCGCTCTCCTGTTCTTCAAGATGAAAGAAAATGAACGGCTTGAGTTCTGGTGAGGACAGCTAGTGCAGCTCTGCAGCACTAGGCACCAAGGAACGCCCACTTGCTCATTTTCTGGCTCCAAGATCCATCWCTGAACTTCCACTAGGGCAGCTGCTTCCTTGTAACGACGATGCTCTTTTCCACTGTCTCTCTCTAAGACAACTGGATGACATCTCCCATCAGCACAAGCACCACGAGCCACCTCACCTCAAGCTACCGCAGCACAGACACACAACGCTGCTCATCTCCACCACTGACTTCCAGCCTAAAGACTTCCAGCGGAGTTCACCAGGTCTGAAGGGAGGTATCAGAGCATATGCTCTCGTAAGAGCTGGGCCAATAAAAACCCTACCGAAAGSAAAGGAATGGAGACTGAGGGAAGGATAGAGTAAGGTAAGCAATGAATACCTACATCAGTCCAAAACATACACCATCACACTTAAAACTTGCACCTTGCCTTATCTTCCTCAGTAAAAATCCCTCTTATAATCTTAAAAGCAAGAKTAAACAGAAAATCCTGGAGGGATCTTTCTTTAAGTGCTTCAAATGACTTGACTTGTCCCTGGCCACCGTCCTGTGAGGAGGAGTTCCACTGAGCTCAAAGGCAGGTGTGGACTCTCTGAGAGAGGGTTTGCAAGGGCAGGACATGACGGTCGAGCCAGTACTTACCTACAGGGCTCATGCCAAGGCCAGGAGAGCACTGGAACACAGTTCCAAAGGAATCAAATCTGTAACGGTGCAGCAAGCAGTTGTAAGCAATGAAATCTTGCACTTAACTGAACTTCAAAGGTCACCAAAGTTCAGCTCTAGGCCTTGAGCAAATGAGCTGGATTTATCAGCCTGCTCTTCTAGCAGGCAGTAGCGGGGAACAGCTCAAGCTCAGTGGTGCAGAGCTCAATGCCTAAATGCTCCTTACAGAAGTGGATACTTTCAGAACAAAAATATGTATATCGCCATTGATAATATAAGAAAAATAAGGCCTTGCTTATTTGTTCTAAATACAGCATTTTGCCATAAACACAATATCTTCTCATAAAGAGATATATGAGTTAAGTCATAGGAGAGAAAGGGGAAGGAAAGGGGAGCTCTCTCTCACCACACAGCCAGTCTAGTGCTAACACCAGAACAGGATTTGGGAAACCCTATCTCCACTCTGAAACAGATGCTCTTGCCTGGGGAAAACTCACATCCCTTCTCCAGTCACAGCAGTCAAAACCATTATTAGCATCAAAACAAAAAACTATTTGAGGCATATGAATGTCTACAGCATTTCTAATGGAAACAGAAAGACTGCATGTTTTCTGTCTTTTAATTTTTTGTTTTAAAAAGCACGTCCTTAAGTTCTTCCATGTTTCTTACAATTTATATCTACATTTTTTCTTCTATCTTTCATCAGTTTCAATAGAGCAGCATTTGATATAGCTTTCTCATGTATATATTATATATGTGTGTGTATATAATTCTGAAACACACACTGTTCCAGTGTTTCATTGTTTTGACATCACTTCGTTATATCTTCTTTCCATTTATGGACACTGCCCACAATTTTGGGCAACCCCTTACCAGAAAAGCGAAGAGCACCCGGAGCTTCCTGCGGGCGAGTCCTTCCTCGAGGCTCTCTGGGGAGCRGGACAAGCGACTGCAGCGCGGAGCAGACCCCGGCGCACTGCAGCAGGCACAAGTGGCTGGGAAGAGTTAAAGCAAGCTGCTCGCGCTGGGCAGCACTGCAAGCCCCTCCAGACTGYGGTTACTGCAGCCTGCTCTGGGTGTCCTCTGCACAAGCACCGGTGTGACTTTGCCGACTGCTGAGACTCAGTCTGTTGCGACTGGCATAAGTTGCCACAGGCGAGTAATCACAAGAAACTGACCTTGGCAAAAGCACATTTTACACTTCACTGCTGTTCAACTGTGTTAAACTAGAGAGAGAGCAAGAGAGCAGAAGGGGGCAGGGAGCAGGAAGGGCGCGGGAGGGCCGGAGYGCACGGAAGCACGCGGCCATTTGCGGCGCTACTGCAAGTCTAAGCGTGGGGGCCCAAGGGGTCTAAGCACCATCTTTGGAAGTAGTGTCCCCGAAAAAGATTTCCCAAAGAGGGGGGGGAAAAAAAGGATTGGAGACAACCTGCAGTTCCCCATACTGTTCTACCACCAGCCTACTGACCAAGCAAGGCTTTCCAAATGCCTCCTTCCCTGTTTGACCAGGGGGACCTGGTACGTGTGGCAATCAGCAGCAGCAGATAAAGACTATATTTACTCCTTGGGGTATGGGCGAAGATACTTCAGTCCCATTTTTGAAGTTTCAGCTCAACAGTAACTTCCACGGCAGCAACCAGCCTGTGGGAGTAAAGCCKAATTCCCCCCGCTGTACACCCCGCTGGGTTCTGTCCTAGCCATCCTCTCATTTTCCTTCACTTTGGCTCAACTGCCTCCCTGTCTTTATTATTTTTTTCCCTAGTTTCTGCATTCAGCTTCTCTGGTATTGATTACCACATCTCCAAAGAATCAGGACCTGGCAGAGCAAGATGCCAGAGGCTCCCATGATTAGGGCTAACCCACATCCTGCCCAGATTTCACAGCAAGTTTAACAAGAAAAAACTAAGCTTGGGGGTGTTCTGGGTTTCCAGGACATTTGGTGGTTGAAGCAAAACATGCACAAGCTTTGTGAGAGTTCCAGAAAGAAAAACATTCACTCTCTGCTTAGGAAGCACACAAGGTACACAAGTCTAGACAAAATAAAATAAGGTTACATGCATTTCCTATCTCAGTTTTCCTACCATTTGTGATTGTCAGCGATCTAAAGATCAGAGCCCTCTTAAAACAACACGTTTACTACATGCAACTTCTCTTCTGAACCTGAAGGCTGCTTCTGTCCTGTCTAGACAGTTTCTCCATTTGTCATCTGGTCACATAACTCAATAACCCTGCTATAAAAGCGAGTCATTTTCTTCCTCCTTTTTATATCTGTGTCTTCAAAGTCTCAATTCCCCTATTKCAACTCCTCTTCCTCCATCTCAGGTCTGCAAATGTAGTCCTACAAGACTAGGCTGAGGAAAAGTGGCTTTACTTTGGACACATCCATGTTATTACCTCAAACTATTCCTTCTGAATGAAAAGCATCCTGGTTTAACGACCKCCACCGTAACTACAAGACCGAGCCCCAACAGCAGATGCCTGATTCACAGACATTGACGTTCAGTGGAACAGTATTACAATTGCATTGAGTTTATAAGTTATAAAAAAGTTGATTCTTGAAGCGTGACTCAAAATTTCAAAGGGTTCAAGTATTTCTGAGGCTGAACGTCAGATGTGAGTCAGAAAGGTGTCAGCTGGGGATCTGCAGACCCGTACCCATCTCACCAGACTGCAGCTCTGTGTCTCACAGATCAGGGACGCTTGGGGGCGTCCAGGGGCAGGCACCCTTTGTGACAGCAAGCCAGGGCGCTGTCGCGGGGGCTGGATGGGCTACTGAATGCTCACTCCCTCTCKGCAGTGTGCAAGAGATTCCTGTAGCAGCCAGCACAGAGCAGTCTTATACCTGCTGTACTTGGCTGGCTGAACCCTTGGGCATAAATCTAATTGCTAGAATTTGTATTGACTATGTTTAAAGCTGATGAAAAAAAGAAAGAAATCAGAACAATTGCACTAGTTCTGCAGCAATTACTGTAGGCCTTCAGGATCTATACAATGGAGTGCAGCAAAGGAGAGAAAAGGGTGATAAGAAAATAAGTACTTAGAAGGTACTCACATCCTCAGGAAGACTAAATGTTTATTTTGACTAAGTCCTAAACATGCAAGACTATATATTACACAAGATGTACTACTCTCAGCTCAAAGCAGGAATTTGACAGGGCTCTTCAGTGCATATCCTAAACATGGGGTTATTGGATTAGTTCCTTTCTTTCAACCTCTCACAATGCACCAGGCTTTGAAATAATGGCACATAGAGTAATGTGCCATTCGATGTCCTGATCGTATTTGACCTGACAGGCCAGAACCTCATWTTCAAGTTTCTTCTCTGATCAGGCAAAAGAGAAATATTAACTGGGCCTTCCACACTCAGGCAAATAATTATCCGAGTGTTGGCTACTCTGGGCATCTCATGTCTTTTCCTTTCTTCACTAAGTCTTTAACGTGAGATAATTCCTTGAAATCAATATATTTGCACAGAAAGTWTCAGAGATAACATATCAAAATCTTCCCACATCTAAAAATTACTTTTCAGATTTAGCTATAGTTATGTATAGCTATACACCTGCCTTGACAGATAAAGGTATGTTACTGCTATAAAATACGTATCAACAAGACCATGATGCTGTGGTTGAAATGTTATTAGCATGATATTAAGTTTGCTGTAGTATACCTAAACTGGCACAAGATTCATTTACTTGAATTATACTTACATTTCTAGGAAAAGAAAAAAAAAAAAAAGAAAACATCTGCCTAATCTACTCACCCAGTACAGCATAACTGATATCCTTGAGGCCCACCGAGTCAGGAGATGCTTCTTTTCCTTCTGGCTGTGAATATAGCAGGTGATCTACTAGAAGAAGAAGAAGAAGAAAGTTTGGCAYACAGTCCTTGGTGCACTCGGAGGATCAGTATTTTCAAAACCCTTACAAAACAATGCACTGAATCTAAAAGAGCAATCTACACAGGTTTTCAGAAAGCTTTCAGAGCTAATGCACTCTCTTCTAGGTATTTAAGCAAGCCACGCCACAGACTCATTTTCCCATGTGAAACCCTATATGCCTCTCAACTCTCCTATAGCCTTCAGGCTATTGAAGTGAAAGGCCTGAAGTTCTTCTGCTTGCTTTTTTAAAGTTAAAACATACAGTTTGCATTTTCTGCAAATTCTAACTTAGCATCATATAATTTGAAACTTTTTGAACTTGCCTTTTTTTAAGATTACTCTTCTGAAAAAGGTTTCCAGTTTAATGCACTTCAGAAAATCAATGGCAAACTTTGAAACTTAAGTTAAACTATAAAAAATATAAAGTATCCTTTCTTCTATGAGCTGCTTCATTTAATGAGCAGCTACAGATGTAGAAGTTAAGGTATAAGGTAAGTTTTCATCTACTTTGCTGAGTGAACATTTTTCAGTCTAGAAGATGCTGCAGAAATTTGTGACCTTTATTTTCTGCGGTATTCTGCAAACTCCAGCATGCCATTTTTCTACAGAACTTCCTTTTTTTCCTTGCTAGCATGCTGAACATGTAATTTCGAAGATACTTAGGCTCTGTATTATCAACTCAGTCCTTCTAAGCTCTTTTGGTGCTAGCGAAGGACTTGCAAAAGCCTCGTCTCGCATCGCGCAGGCACGTGTGTGCCTGTCCCCGTACCCAGGCCACCTTGCCAATATGTGGGATTAAACTTTTTCCAAGGTTGAATAAGCCACCATCTGTCTATCTTGTGTGGCGCTGTGCACCATCCGGGAGAGTTGTCCCTTGGAGCATGTTTCTACCATATGTCACTCCTGAGTGATCGGTTATGCCAAGACATTTGGGAAAAAATGACTAAGTCTTGCTGGAAAACCCTCTCAGAATTCCAGAGGAGGTTTGCCAAGGCTGTATTTGCAAATAACTTTGCATCCATCTATTTTTGCATATACGGTGTGCAACGATGGATAAACTTTTCCCAAACCCAACAAAACGATTATTTAGATGATGCAACCATGCTTTACTGTCCAAAGCTCAGGCACTTTCTAATAAGCTACGAGGCCCAGATATAATACATCTAGGAAAAATATAATGTRCTATGACAGAATAATTTTATTTTTTATAGTAACTAAGTAGAGAGGGGGAAAAAAAACAGATCCAAATATTATACTGCAGGAAAGACTTTGCTTATTATTTCCAAGCCACAACAAATAAGCCACTTCCTTCAAAATACTCAACAACAAAAAAGATAYTAAAGCAACTGAAAGCAAGGCTCTTTTGCAACACATAACTGTATCTAAACTGTCTGCTGGCATGCAGAGGGGTCACCTAAATTTATTTTTAAATCACTGGTATATCACAGTTCCTGAGTTCAGAACTTGTCTCATAAAGAATACCCTCTGTCATATTTTAAGTGCAAAGAACCACTTTATGATCCAATTCCTTACATTTTGAAATTAAAGACAGCATTGTTCTTATGGCTGGCCGAGGCTGCTCATTTGGTTATGCAGCAATTAATACCAACAGAGATTCTTCCAGATTGGCTGCTTAACATGGAAGAAGTAGTTCTGGAGAACATAAAAAGAACTGAGCAGGGATTACAGCCAACCTGAGTAAGTTCAATACGGAAAGGAAATCTATTCCTAAGTGCCACTAGGAATTAATAAATATCAGAAGATAAATTAGAAGAATTAGTGTATTTAGTGATAAAGTGAGATGAGAAGCAGTAATACAATCCGCTAGAAAACATTCACAGAATCTGAGGGTCCTTTCTTTGCCTTCAGTTTTTATGAGTTTGGGCCATTACTGGAAAAAGGCAGAAACRTGAAGCAAGAATTCCCTGGAGCAGCAGCTCTGTGGCTTCCACACTACCCCGTGCTGCCAGGAACAGAGCGGAAACTGCAGCTTCTGCTATAGGACTTTATGAAGATGCTCACAAACCATAGGGGCAAACTACAAACTGAACAATACGCAAGGGGAAGACAGGAGGAGATCACTCCTTTCCATGGCTGGTCAGCCGAGTTGGGGTGTGCCTGCTGTCCATCCCACGCCACACACATCCAAGCGGGAATCCCGCCAGCCGTTACAGATGTTATGTTTTTATAATGGTCCCGGTGAGGAGGAGCCCCTCGAGGTGCCGCTCACGCTGCCCTTCAAGCCCGTCGCGAGCCGCGACGGGCGCCGCTGTTCTCGCAGCCCTCCTGGGAAACTCCCCGGCGCGCCTCCAATTCGCATGCTCTGAATTCAGTCCCATGAGAAGAACATTCCTCCGGGAATAAAACCACGCGCTGACACGGCCACGTATTTCTGTTACATGAAGGCAAAACTTAACGGAAACATCTGTTCATAGATACAGGACTAGGGCGGGCAAAAGGCGGCCGAAGAGACGACCCTGTTGCACAGAAAGCCTCGCGCAGAGGGGAGGGCGGCAGGGAAGGTGTCTGCAGAAAACACAGGCTCTTAGAGCAAGGCCCAGCTGGAAGAGCTGCTGTATTCTCCCAGCCACCTGTCTGCAGGGATGCTTCCAGTTTTCCTGTGTTTATTCCTCCAAGTTCACCCTGGAAGAGGCTCTGGGCACTAAGTGGGCTGACCAAGATGGAGCGGGCAGGAGATAACCCACTGGGGTGGGAAGTCATCAAGTGTCATGAAAAACTACAGAGGAGTCTGTCCCCTCTAATAAAAGGTCAATTCTTCAAGCTCWGCGGTACTGCAACATAAAAGGGCTTGTGGCTCCAAATGCTAATGCAATTTTTAAACATAGTGCAGTCCCTTTTCTCATCAGGAATTGGTATTCAGATACCAACTCAAAGAAAATCCCCATAGATACTATAAAAGTAACTTCAAGTTTATTAACTTACCTATAAGAGAGGTGCAAGGAGAGGGATCGAAGGAAAAAAGGGGACCTGTTTCGAAGCCAAAGGGATAAAGTCATTTTCCTCACGTAWCCTTCCTCTTTTTCACGTCCCCCCCTCCTCCACACCGAGGCTAAGAAAATCTGCCATTGCTTTAGGTCAAAGGAAAAACAGGCCCAGCTGCCGTCAGCCAAACAACGTGCAGGTTTGTTATCTTCCCTGCTGTTTTGGCTCGAGCCCTTCAGACTGGAAAATTCAGAAGCACGATCGCCCAAGCTCTATAAATGCCAGAACCATCTAAGAGGAAAATAGGACAAGGCCACCCCCAGGCAAGTCTGTACTAAAATCTGCTGGCTGCAAGGCAAAAATACAGTAAACATCACATAGGGACAGCCTGCTCCCTGGAAAATATTCCACAAGAACAATACGGCTTCCAAAGACAGCGCGCGCACACGCTACAGGGACTTCTGCAGAGTAAAGGCAGTGTTTTAAGATCCTTGCAAGGAGTTAGCAAGCTAACGGCACACTCAATAAATATATATATTTATATATACATATAGATAGATATATAGATATCTATATTGCTCTATGATGGGCAATATGCTTTTGACATTRCTCCGAAAAAGAAATGTAAAAACTACATGAGCTACTCTACAAAGCAGTAACCAATTCGGGATCTTAGAAAAGTTCTGCGGTTCCCAACGAAAACATCGTTCTTTGTCTGACAGCTAATTTCATGGAATAAAACAACTAATAATGAGCAATTAAACTGCCAGTATCCTCATCCTCCCTTTGGGGAATGAAAATTTCAGTCTGATATTTGCAGTCCTCCAGAAGCAGCCGTTCCTGCGAATGATTCCTGTATGTTTTTGCGTGCTCTGTACTGACTCAACCTAGATAAACAAGCCAAAGCAGAAGTTGAAACATCCTTTTTCCTGTGTCGCTCCAATTTGCCATAGCAAGAAGCTAAACAACATGCTCTCCACCAGATGGCTGAAATAAAAAGAACACTCTTTCCGATTAATTAGGAAACAAATGGGTCTGCTGTTAGCACAACAAGTTGCCACCAGGAAACCTGCGCTCCCGGTAAACTTTGGGATTCCTGCGTTCCCTGCAGTGGCGCTCAGGGGCATCCCGGTGCTCGCCTCTCGCCTGAAGGACCAAACCTCACGCCCAAGCCGGTCAGAGTGTCACTCCAGACACCGAGTAACTGCGAAGGGCACTGGACAACAGCGGGTCGTCGTGAGCAGCGAGAGCGGAGGTCTCGGAGCCGGGGGCAGGCGGAGGCCGCACTCAAGGCCGCATCCCCGCGCGCCGCCTCACACACATTCCCACCRGAGCACTCCAGCCACCGGGAGACTCGCATCCCGGCACAGACACGGCCCGGGCAGCCAGGAGGCTGCGGCTCGGGCAGCGGGCACGGCCCGGGAGGACACGTTGTGGCCGGGAGGACACGCTGTCGTGTGGCCGGGCGGATGCACTGCAGGCCCAAGGGGGCAGGCAGGCCGGCAGGGACGTCCGGAGCGAGCACGGCGCGCCCCACAACCGGCACGTCCGCGGGCACTGGGCACTGGGCACGAGCAGCGCGGGCCGGTGAGGGGAGGGCGCCGGGCTGACGAAGAACACCTATTTCTCATATCTCATTTCAAGGGAAATGAGGGAAATATTTACCAGAAACTAAATCCAAGCCTGGTCTTCTATGGTCAAGAAAAAATGATCTATCCTCCTAAGCAACTGAGGAAGGGGGGGAATATAAAGAACAAAGAAAAACGCTTTCCTCAAAAATTTGTTAAAAGAATTTTAAAACAAGTTTAAATTTTATATGTATATATATTTTATATGTATATGGAAGCCATTTAGTTAAACTTAGTGGGTTGCTTATCTCACAGGTTGCTTACCACTACCACAGGCCTGGGGTAGTTCACTACTGCAGAAAATAAAAGGCAATCCAATGCTGCAGAAGCCCAAAGACAACACCCAACATTCGAAGTACACCTAACATCGAAGTACATCTGACA